TATAAATTTTCTTGTACATTAGACATACCCAAGAGCTCTTTCTCAGAGGGCATAGATTTCCCTCTGTCATGGGATGCTCCTGATCTTTCTCCAGACTGCCTCAGGCTTGTCTAGGACTTACCTTCTACTTCTTTTACTGCCAAGAATTCCATATCTTTCCCCACCACAGCCCCTCTCAATACCCAAAGAAATGCCAATTCTAATTCTATGGATGAAGCAACAGGGCCGGTGACACTGTGGATTGGAGTTTCTGAACCATCCTTTCTGCTTTGCTTCCACTCCAAAAAGACAATTATTTTCCATGTTCCCAGTAAATAAGCCTCAGGAGCATTCCTGCCTCTGGATTGGTGTCTGCACTACCCCTGGAAGTCTGACTGTTCCTGTGCTTCCACCTTTGTGAAATGGAGACCAGAGGCAAAAATCTGCCATTGACTTTACTTCTCAACTCCATGGATCACTAAACGCATCTCTGAAGTTGTCAGTCCCTAAAGCTACATGGGATTTCTCTCTCACCTACTGAAGCACCTGTCTTCCAAGGCCTTCGGCATCCCAACTGCTTCCTGCATGCCCCGGTGTACTTCACAGGATGTTGGCGACGGAATAGATCTGTGTCATGCCACATTGTTTGTGTGATTCAGATCTCTTTGGATTAAATTAGGACAGAGAATAGAAGAATTAACAAAGCCAAGGCAAAGGCACACAGGAACATTGTTCATTCTGTGTGAATAAGAATACATTTTGATCCTCTTTCTAATTGAGCAGAAAATAACACATTTGCCACATCAGTGGCTGCATCCTATGGACCCGAGGCCTTGCTAATTTGTTCCAGCAACAATCTGGCTTCAGATACAGCAGCTTCTGGCAATGTAGATATCTAATTAACTTTAGTAATTCTCTGTGGTTCATCCCATTTCTACAGGGACTGGATATGATGTATTCAGTGGAGGCATGACTGGGAATTCTCTAAGTCATTCTTCTTTTTACTTTTTGGCCATGCCAGAATTAAACCCAGGGCCTCACACATGTAGGACATTCCCACCAACAGTGAAAGACGGTTCCTTTTCCACTACAGCCTCACCAACACTGGTTGTTTCTAGTCTTTTGAATATATGCCATTCTTATTGGGGGGGGGGTGGGGACCATATCTGGCAATGCTCAGGGGTGACTCCTGGCTCTGCATTAGGAATTACTCCTGGCTGTGCTTGGGAGACCTTATGGGATCCCGGGAATCAAATCCAGATATGCCATCCATGTCCAAGGCAAATGTCCTACATGCTGTACCATCACTCCAGCTCCATATATGGCTTTCTTAATGATTCTGCATTATCATTTTGACTTGGACTTTCCTAAGGAATGATGATGAACACCTTTTCATACACCCACTGCTGGCTATATGTCTGTCCTCTTGGGGGAAGTGTCTATTTATCCTCTCTTCCTTTTTTTTTTTTTTAACTTTTTAGGTCACACCTGGCAATGCTCAGGCCTTACTCTTGGCTTTGCACTCAGGAATTACTCCTGGCACTGCTCGGGGATCATATGGGATGCTGGGGATCAAATCTGGGTGGGTTGCATGCAAGACAAATGCCCTACCTGCTATACTATCGCTCCAGCCCTCTCTCCCCATTTTTGATGGGTTTAGTAGTTTTTTGTTGTTATGCATTATGATATCTGCCTTTTATATGATATATTACATACAAATATTTTCTCCCATTCAGTGGGGTATCTTAAGTTAGCATGAGTTTGCTTTGCCATGTGAGGACTTTTTAATTTGGAGTTACAGAAAAGCACAGGCACCAAAGCATGAGCTTTGCATACAGTTGACACCAGTTTTGAGACACAGGGTCCCCTGAGCACTGCCGGGATCACTCCTGCACAGTCAGAATCAGTCCTGAGCCCTGAGACCCTGAGCCCAGAAGGGTGTGACACCCAAACAAAACAGGGGTCGGAGTGATAGTACAGTGGAAAGGTGCTTGCCTAGCACACAGCTAAACCGGGTCTGAATACCAGGAGCCCATATGGTTCCCTGAGCCCACTAGGAATGATCTCTGAGTGCAGAGCCAAGAGTGACCCTGAGCAGCACTGGGTGTGCCCCCTTCAACCAATAACCCTCCCCCCACCCCCACCCTGCCCAAACCCAACATCTTTTAAATTTGATGTAATCCCATTGTTTGTTTTTGGTTTTGTTCTCTTTACCAATAGAAGGGCTGGAGCGATAGCACAGCGGGTAGGGCGTTTGCCTTGCATGCAGCTGACCTGGGTTCAATTCCTCCGCCCCTCTCAGAGAGCCTGGCAAGCTACCAAGAGTATCTCGCCCGCCCAGCAAAGCCTGGCAAGCTCCCCGTGGTGTATTCGATATGCCAAACACAGTAACAACAAGTCTCACAATTTGTTGTGTGATGTTACTGGTGCCCACTCAAGCAAATCGATGAACAACGGGAGGACAGTGCTACAGTACTACCAATAGAATAAAGTCTTTGAAAACACCTCTGGGATCTGTATCCTGGAGAATCCTGCATATATTTTCCTCTGAATATCTATTGGATTCTAGTCTAATCTTGAGATCTTTCTTCCATGTTGAACCAGCTTTTATGCAAGGCATGAGATATGGATCTAGTTTCTCTCTCTCTCTCTCTCTCTCTCTCTCTCTCTCTCTCTCTCTCTCTCTCCAACACCATTTGTTCAAGAGGCTATTTTTGCTCCACTTTATGTGCTATCTCCCTGGTCCCTTTTAACTTATCACTTTAATGTGGTTTGTCTGGAAGTTTTGTTTCTCTTACATTGGGTATTTCTTGCTTGTAATATTGTGACAGTGGAGAATAAACAGAAGTAATTCTTTATTGCAAGATGATTTATTGATTCAAGTTACAATCTCCATTTTAAAGACCTGCCGTTAAGATTTTAAACAAAGCATTTACCGTAGGAAACTGAATCATAAGCAATGAATGACATGAATGACTCTCCCAACGTATGTTTTTATTACAAAAACTCTTAGTACGATTCAGTACACTCTTAAGAAAAAAGTCAGAATTTTGCCAATCCCATTGACTCCCAAGAGGATACGTCAGAGCAGTTGCTATGAAGGCTGGGGTGACTTGAATTCGCCTGTTACTAAAGAATGTCGGGGACATGTGATTGTTTCTGCTAATGTTCTGCCTGATGGAGTAGGAGTAAAAGTTCCTGGCCCACAGCGCTCTAGAACAAAGTAGAAAAACGGGACTACAAAGGTGCAGAGGAAGAAAACTGCCACATGAGGGCGCACTAAGCGAAAGAAAGGACCTGGGTCAACTGTTAAAAAAAAACTTGATTTCTCCCTTTTTAGAGTCCTTGCTCAACTGTCCCATGAAATATGAGAAATAAATATGTAACGGGACCCCCGCAGTCTTCTAGGGAGCAGAGAACTCGTTCAAGAGAGGCCTTTTTAACGGCCCATCAAGCCTTCATCCATCTATCCTTGTCTCATGATTTCTGATTCCTGAGGCATTGGGCAGTACTGTGTCCTTGATCTTGCAGCCATCTAAATGACCAGAGACCTTGGTACTACACCAATGGGAGGTCAAATTCTGGCTCTGCCACCTACCAGTGAAATATCAGCGACCAGTTTCCTTAAGTCTGAGCTTCCTTGTCTGTAAATTGTGAAAATCAAATGAGACATCTACAAACTCTTGGCACCTGGCACAGATGTGTTCCATAATAATTAAGGGCCATTCTTACTGTTCCTGGCTTATTTGATTCTATCACCAGCAATGGCTAATTCTTGGTCCTTAATATTCTGGAGCAGGAGTCATATCTCTCTCTCTCTATATATATATATATATGTTTATATATATTTATATATGTTTTATTTATTTAATTATTTTGCTTTTTGGGTCACACCGGGGGTTCTCAGGGGTTACTCCAGACTCTGCACTCAGGAATCATTCCTGGCAGTGCTTGGGGGACCATATGGAATGCTGGGGATCGAACCTGGGTTGGCCATGTGCAAAGCAAACACCCTACCTGCTGTGCTATCACTCCAGCCCCAATATATTTTTTTAAATGCTGATTTGTTCCTACTTATACAACCTGAGCTACCTTGTTCTTTCCAATATTTAAAAACAAAACAGGGGCCAGAGTGGTGTTCAGTGGGCAGGGCACTTGCCAGGCAGGAGGCCAACCTGGCTTCAATCCCTGACACCCCATATGATCCTCTGGCTACTCCAGTAGTAAGCCCTGAGCATAGATGGGTTTGCCATCTTCCAACAAAATTTAATTCAAAGTATAGTAAAATAAAAACACTTAAAGTGGGAAAAGAGGGGCTGGAGAGATAGCACAGCGGGTAGGGCATTTGCCTTGCACGTGCGACCCGAGCATATGGTCCCCTGAGCGCCGCCAGGAGTAACTCCTGAGTGCAGAGCCAGGAGTAACCCCTGTGCATCGCCAGGTGTGACCCAAAAAAGAAAAAAAATAAAGTGGGAAAAGAAGGAAGTAGAATGCCAGGGATATGTGTGGAATAGAACACTAAAAAGTAAAAGTACTGAAAATCCTACTTACAGACCAAGCAGAGGGATTATTTTTGGTTCTCTTTCTATTTTGAGAGTTGACATGAATCCCAGGATCTGTCATCCCGCTAGGTCTCCAGATTATAGCGTCATTATTTAATGACTAAAAGTAAAATAAAATCCCCACAAGTGCACACAGTATTAGCAACTATAGACATTCGAGTTTATAAGTGGGGGACAGATATCACTTTATGCACATTTTGTTCATTTAACATCTCAAATGTGGGCATCGTGAGACTAACAAATTGCCAAAGAAACCAAGCAGGGAATAAAATGTACAAAACAGACCTAGACATTGATGTGCCACTTGACTTTAAACCAGAAAAATTGCTTTTTTCCTTTTTTTTTTTTTGCAGGAGATGGAGGTAGGCATGGTTGAACAGACCCACGCTCTCGGAGGCCTAAGGTATCCCGAAGACCTTGGAAGGAAGGACCACCTGACTCCATCCCGTTCTTCTCCGATTAGATTCTCTGGTATCCGGATGACTCACGCCTGAGACGGATTCCATAGACAATCAGCCCCACGGCGCAAAGCCCCAGCACAATGGCCCCAATTACGGGCAGCACCACCGTGTAGTCAGACGAGCACTCAACCACTAAGAGCAAAAACAGATAATAACAGGGCAGTCAGCTTTGCTTGGTATATCGTTTTGCCCTTTGTTTTTGAGCCACGCTGGGTGGTGGTCAGGGGCTGCTTCCGGCTGGGTGCTAGAGAGTCGCTCCTGGGGCATTGGGGAGGGGGACAGGGAATGGTGGGAAATGGGGACGCTCTGGGGTGGGGAACAAACCGCATCGCGGGTAAGGTAATGCAGACCAGAAGGAGCCTAGCGTGGGAAAAGGGGAGGTTGGGAGTAAAATCCAGGCTGGACTTAACGATTCTACCACCTGTGTGACTTGGGAACCAGTCACTCAACCTGCAACATTCTCATTTATCAAAGAAGCAAATAATGTGTGCTTGTTGGAGGAGTTTAATAACTGCTATCTTCTTAGCAGTTGATACACTTAATAATTGCTAAGCCCCATTTTCTCCCATGCGCGTTCTCTGCAAAGTGGGGTGTGCAGAAGTTAAGAAGCGATGGAAACTAAGAGAACATTAGTTTCCACATGATTTCTTGAAAAGATGTGGAGTTTGTTCACTTTATAGATCACTTGATACACTTTAGAAGGTTTTAAAAAAAATTACTTTTGGTGAACAAAAATCTTAGCAAGTAGGCTCCACCACCAAAACTCAAAAACGTTTTAAAAAGGGTCAGACTTGCCTGTGTGAGGCCCTGGGTTTGATTCCCAGCATCGTAAAACACGATTGAAAAGAGAACACAGGCTTAATGATTCATGAACGGTTAAAAGCAAATCGTTCGTAAAATTTGTTAAGCTTTTCCCCTTATTCCATGAGAAGGCATTCAGCTTATTTAAAAATGAGCTTCAGTCTGGACAGGAAAAAAGATGGGGAAAAAAAGGGAAATGAGAACTTCTTTGAATAAAGTTAACCCAGTCTTGGGCCAGACAAGACAAAATAATAATTAAAGATTCCAGAAAAAGACAAAATCTGCATCAGGTGGTAGCTGCACTGATAGCGAACTATTTGATTTGTGTGGACAATATTTACATAACTGTAAAGCTCTGAAGAATAACCATGTACATATATAAGAGTTTTATCTCTTTACAAGTTCTTGGATACATAATTTTAATATATTCTTTATATTAAATATCCTAATGGATAAATGCTTTGCAAAGATGTGGGTTCTCCATGGCATCCAAAAGGAGAGAGAGAACAAAAGGGAATGCCCTGCCACAGAGGCAGGGTGGGACGGGGGGATGGGGGGTGGGAGGGATACTGGGATCCGTGGTGGTGAAAATGGGCACTGGTGGAGGGATGGGTACTTAATCATTATATAATTGAAACCCAAGCACAAAAATTTGTAAGTCTACAACTGTACCTCTTGGTTTGTCATTAATAAAAATTTAATTAATTAATTAATTAATTTTTTAAAATGATGTGGGTTCTCTATTCCTGAGGAATTTTTGCTTGATTCCTTGGTTATGTGGTGTCTCTCAGATCTCTCTAAATTTCATGAATAAGCAGTACCTTTAAACAAAAAAAAGTTTTAATTGCACTTTAGGCATGTAACATGGCTACAATAGATGATGGATTTGATGTACAGTTAGTCATTACACCTTCACCAGTACTCAGATGCCCGAAAGTACCCACCACTCTCTCTCTCTCTCTCTCTCTCACTTTAGCCCTTGTCTTCCAGTTCTCCACTGCCCCTCAGTATACTGTGTCTTTAAGAAGCACGTGGGGCTGGAGAGATAGTGGAAAATGGTCTGCTTTCAACACTGCTGGCTTTCAACCGAGCACTGCCTCTAGGTCCCAGCATCACACTGATCTCTGACTACTGAGCCAGGAGTAACCCTTAGTACTGGTGACCGTGGTCCCGAGACAAAGACAAACAAAGGGCTCATGGATTCTGTGTTGAATTGTTCTACATTTGAGGCAGCCTGCCCATTACCCTTACAGTTAAATAAAATAGTATGTTTAGGTCCCACTGTCTTTCCCTGAAGAAATTGTATATATTGGTCTATCTTTTGCTGATTTTAAGATCTGTCACTGTCCTCTCATTGTTCATCAATTTGCTCAAAAGCTCATTTTCATCCCACCTCCTTCTTTTTAGTGATCTTTCCTTTATGGAGAGAGGGAAGGCGAAGTTCACAGCCTTAACAAATTCTTAATCTCAAGGTTCTTCCTGGCTTCCTTAGAATATATCTCCACATTACTAATTTTTTTTCAATTATTTATCTTAAGGAAAATATCTTGCTCGAGCGGGCCCAGTAACGTCTCCATTGGAGACTTTGTTGTTACTGTGTCTGGCATATCGAATACTCTCGGTAGCTTGCCGGGCTCTCCGAGAGGGGTGGAGGAATCGAACTAGGGTCGGCCATGTTGGCTGCGTGCAAGGCAAACGCCCTACCTGCTGTGCTATCGCTCCAGCCCCAGCTTAATTGGGTTTTGGATTTTGGTCTTTCAGCCACACCTGACGATGCTCAGGGCTTACTCCTGGCTCTGTGCTCAGGGATCACCCCTGGTGGGGCTTCGGGAACCAACTGAGGTCCTGGGATCTAATCCGGGTCAGCTGCTTGTGAGGCAAATGCCCTACCTGTTACACAATCTCTCTGGCCCAGATGGCTTCTAAGTTTTCATTTCATATATGTCTAGAGTGCTTACAGTTTTTAAACCAGCTGCCTGCATTACTTTTGATTTCAGTTTTATAAAAATTAAAAATTAGTGCCATAGAATATTATAGCCATTTAAAACTGTCCTCTGGGAGAAAATCTAATTTTGGCTTGTGTGTATATTTGGGGTTTTATTTTTGGGGTGTGTGTAACACCCGGAGGGACTCTGGCAGCTTCTGCATACAGAGTCTTCTCTCCCATCCTTCGTCCTCTCCCCTGTCCTTAGAGACTTAGACAACCCATGAATCAGTGTTTTATATGAAATTTGCATGCGTGTAAAATCACAACAGAATTGTGAGAACCGAGAAACACCATCTCAGCAACAACAGGGAACGGCCAAGGGCATCTAGTCTAATGCCGCTAACAGAGTCTTGATATGAGTCATTAAAAAAACGACGCTTTAGGGGCTGGAGTGATAGCACAGCGGGTAGGGTGTTTGCCTTGCATGAGGCCCGACTGGGTTTGATTCCCAGCATCCCATATGGTCCCAGAGTAATTCCTGAGTGCATGAACCAGGAGTAACCCCTGTGAATCACTGGGTGTGACCCCCAAAAAAGCAAAAAAAAAAAAACCACACACACACACACACAAAACAAAAATAACAAAAACCGATGCTTTGTCCCTGTAATAACATGGATCAGAGGCATTTAGAGGAGGGGGGAGGGGAGCCCCCACTGTGTTTCCTGCCAACTTTCATATGTGAAACAATAATTCAGGGGAGGGATGTGCATCTACATTGATGAGGAGTTGCAGAGTGAGGGAAGAAGTCGAGAATTTCTACTTGCAGCAGCAAAGGGAGCGAGGGAGCAGATAGCAGGAGGGATACAGTCAGGGGCCAATGGAAGCCAGAGGCTCAGGAAAGACCTGGCAGGGCTTATGGGGGTGGGGAGGACGCCAGAGGTCACAACTTGAGGCTCACGATTCAGCTTTGCCCTGGGGTGGGAGTGCACCTCCCCACCCCCACCCCCCCACATCTGCTGTTCCTGGGTGTCCCTGCAGAAAAGGGGCAGAGCTGCAGGAAAATAACCCAGTCACAGGCTACTTTACTAATCATGCGAATGGGGCTGGTTTGGGTTATGGGGATGTTCATATAAATGCTGTTTGAAAATTACAGGGGTCAGCACAACAGCTAAGGCTTGCATGGGGCTACCTGGGTTTGATCTCTAATCCCTGGCACCCCATATGGTCCGCTGAACCCCAAAAAAAATGATCCCTGAGCACAGAACCCGGAGTAAGCTCTGAGCACTGCCAGGTGTGGCTGCCCAACCACACATCCACACACAAAAGAACTGACTAGGGCGTGTGTGTGTGTGTGTGTGTGTGTGTGTGTGTGTGTGTGTTGGTAGTGGTCGTCAAAGCAGCTGCCGGGACCCCTCAAAGAACTCACTGATTATCTCACTCCCCATTTCAAATCCAAATCACACCTCTCTCTCCGTCTGTCTCAGCACTCCCTCCTCTGGAAGGTTGACCTTGAGGGAGCTGCTTGGCCAGCAGTGCAGGGGGTCCTGCTGCGGAATCCCTCCCTCCTCTACCTCAGGGCTGGCTTTGGAGTCGCAGGAGAGAATGGTGCTCCCCCAAAGCCAGGCCCTTGTGCCCTGGAGCCTGCCACTTTCGGGAACACGGGGTCCTCAGCCCACATTTTCACCACGTGTCCTGAAGTATGACCCAAACAGGAATTTCCTGACCCTCTTCAGGAGCTCTTCAAATTGGCTTGAAGCTGCTGGGAGCCCGTGCCACCTCCCCCCTTCTGAGAAAGGCCTGGAGAGCTAGAGCGGGGACGAAAAGAGCCCGTGAGTGTCCGGATAAACACTGAGGGCTGCCAGCACCTCACCAGTCTCCTGTTGGTACGGGGAAAGGGCGCCTCTGGAAAGACGTAGAAGAGCAAGGAAGAGCACTTCAGAACATCCTGAATTCCCTGACACGTCCTTCCTCTGAAATCAAAGCCTGGTCCTTGGAAGTCAACAATGTGACGGAACTCCCACGAAGGAGGCAAGTCAATTTTAAGAGAAGCTCCCTACCAGTATCCGTCACACCAGACAGGGAAGTTTCCAACTACGTGCGCTTTTGTGAATCTTTTCTTCAAGAGGGAAGAGGGTGGTGATCTGGGGGGCGTTTGCCTCTTCTGCTTGCTGTCCCCCGACCCCATGTGAACAGACTTACAAGGTTTGACTAGAATGGAAGAAAAACAGTGGGACCAGAGCAAGAGGGCAGTGGGTAAAGTGTTTGCCTTGCAGGCGGCTGAGCCGGGTGTGATCCCAGGCACCCCAATGATATAGGCAGGCAGGCAGATAGGGAAGGCCCCCTCCCCAGGCGAGGGCAGTAAATTTCCTGGGAAGGGATATCTCTGAAGTTGCAAAAGGCCAAC